TTGTTTGATCAAACAAAAGCGGCCTTCACTCTCTAACACTGTAAAAATGATTAGAACCTTATGTTCATTGGCAAAGTGCATACAGTTGCACAAATTAAATAGATGTACGCTTTACTTGACCCCAGAAGCTTCGACAGACTTCGTGTGCCACCGAGCACTCACCCCCAGCTACAGCAGACCTGCCTCCGCCATTGAGTCCCAGATTAGCGGCGCGTGTCTCGTTAAACGACCAGCCGAGAATCAGGTCTGGTGAATTATCATTCAGCGTTGTGAATTCATCAAGCTTTAATTCTCACAAAGGATTCCTAAAAATGAAAATAAAATAGCAGTAGTCACTGAAAATAAAATGTATTAAAGATTTGTGTCAGTAACCTTATTATAAGCCAAAGTATTTCACCTTCATGAGAAGCATTATGTGCGTTTGAAAAAATAACTTGAAAGGTTGAAAAATAATCATACTTTATTATGTACATTGTAAACTGTTTATGACTATTTTACCTAATTATGTTGACATATTTTTTTGGAATAGACCCCTCAAGGGGATGGCGATTCTAATTGACAATAGAATAAGCAAACACTTATCGTACGATAAAAATATATATAATTGGAACATTTTCTTATGATTCTATTGATTTATGCTTCAAAAAATTTGATTTCGTTCAAGGTGACCAAATAGCATGGGTCGCCATTGACGTATTGAACAAAAAAGTAAAAATTCGTTTTAAGAAGTCATTTAAATAATTATCGACACTGTTTGACTTGTGGTATCAAATTCTGAAAAATCTTATGGCATGAAAAAATTACAAAAAACTCAATGTCATTCTTGCACATGTCAAAATGATTACTTTTCCATCTGACAAAAAAAAAATTTAAGTTGTATTATATATACTTGTATAACGAATGATGGACAGTTTTATTTACTAGTACTGAGTATATAAAATTCTTTGGTTTGTTGACTAGGCTTGTGGTAATAACAGTTCATTATCTTTATAGTCTAAAACTCTCAGGCTGACAACTTAACTTTCACTATATAACATGTTTGACATACAGGCCAGGATAAGGAAAATTTGAGTGCCTGACTGGTAGATCGGTTAAATACGCCTACTAGATGTCACTACTGGGGACTTTTTCTGATGTTGCTGGTAATGTTCACGCTAGTTTTATTGTAGCAGCTTTACAAGATGTTGTAGACAGCAGCTCTGCTAGATCGATGTTGCTGGTATTGTCCCTGTCTGAAGCTGCTGATATAGAGTTCCTGCTAGATGTTGCTGGTTGTGCTACAGTACTGCAATTTGTTGCTGGTAGTGTTCCTGTTAGATGTTGCTTGTAGCGTTCTTGCAAGTTGTTGTTGGTTGTGTCCCTGCTAGTTGTTGCTGGTAGAGTTCCTTCAACTGCAAATGTGTGCACTTTGCCAATGCACATAAGGTTCTTATCATTTTTACAGTGTTAGAGAGTGAAGGCTTATGTGTTTGATCAGCAGGTTTGTTGGTGACAGGTTAAACGTGTATGTCAGAGTTTTCCCGTGGAGATCGAACTTGTTTGTCAATAATTTACCTCGTTTTAGAAATTGTTCAAACGTAAAGCATGCTCTTGCGTATCGAATCAACTGAGTACATAAACTCCATATACAGGTGATGAAGGTATATTGCTGCATAAGTAAGGGAAGCTGACGATAGAAAAGTTAAAATCATCACGTTTATCATAGAGCTTGGTTGTTAGATTACCATTAACGTCTTTTTCTAGTAAAATATCCAAATATGAAACAGATGTGTCAGACTCTGTGGTATTTTTTTATCCCAAGCTCATCAGAATATATCGTATCGACTTTAGAATAAATGACCGTTGTTAATTGACAATAAATCATCGATATAATTATCTTTTATTATTAATTATCGAGTTGAAGGCCACAGCAAGTGTTTTTTTTTTCTTTTCATGCATAAGATTTTGAACAATTTTTGCTTCATATGAATACAAAAAAGATCTTCTAATAATAGGGCGCAATTGGTACCCATGGAAATTCCAATAGATTGTTGGATGACTTGGTCTCAAAAAAACAACATAGATATTTTCAATCAGAAACTCAAACATATTTTTGATGTCGACTTCAGAGTACTTGTGTGTACAATCAGAATGTGCTAAACAAAATAATTTTGCAAATGACCAATGACAAGGTATGTATATATACAAATTCCTTTTTTTTTTAATGAAAAAGCAGCTATCAATGATATGGAAAAGCCTGGCCTTTAATTTATCGTGGGAAATGGTTGTGTAGTGAGGAGTAAAGAAAGAGGCTTGGTTGAACATTCACTGGAAACAGCTATGTGTCTTTGTTTGTAAGGATTCTTATGAATTTCAGAATCAAATATGTATATGGTAGTTCAAAATCATTTTAGTTCTTTGGGATATTAAAAATATTCAAAACTGACATGATCTTGAATAATTTCATCCTTAGAATGAGAAATATGAGTATAAGTATGATTACCACTGTTGGAATTAAATTTTTCTAAAATACAACTTATATATATAATGAACCTTACAAACAAAGACAATGTTGTTATCTGCTTTGTCAGCAGGGACCAGTACGTACTGATCATGTAATATATCTAATTCTTCTAATTCTTTTCTCACCCCTGGATTACTGAATACAGAAGGATATGTGGTTTTCATATTGCCCCTAAATCTTTTAATACACGATTTGATTTTATCATGCTTCTGATACATCTAATCCATTCTGACAAAGCGTCATCCTCTTTTTTTTCATGTCTGGCCCATCGCCTGGCGTAATCTTTAACAGAATCCATAATATTTATGAAATTCCGACGCCAGTTGAGGGATCGCGGTTCCGACATATACTATGTATCATTGAATGAAACAAAATAAAACATAAAATATTGAGCGTTAAATAAGACTATTCAGAATTTTTACAGTCAAAACGTTTTATAGAGTAAAATGTGTTTTGTCTTACAAAAGAAGACTATCGATGTCATGGAAACAAAAGGGTTACAATTCTGAAAGTTTGAATTCTAGTAAAAAAAAAAAAAGGTTAAAATAGTGATTTCTCACTTTATTTTCATCTCAATATCAATGTACATGCACCTTTGGGGCCAGATCGGTCTGACAATGATTTTGCTTGCAATAGCAATTTTGTAAAAATTAATCTTCAATGACAATAATTATTGGTTCGGATGGTTCCTGTTTTATTCTTTTGATATCTGTATAAAACCCATTTAGGATAATAAACAGAGGTTAAATACGATAATATCTCGATAAAATGAGAGATCATCATCATTACACTGAAATGAAGACTTTTACAACCATGTCCTTATGTAGTGATGTTTTTTTTTTATTTAATAAAAATAAAAAAGAGTATCCTCAGACTCAACAATTAATCTTTTTCACAATTGAAAATATATTTGAAAGATCTGTTATCTTTAGATTTTGTAAAATGTAGTTTTATCTGATATCCTCTGTTACATGCATACTAACACAGAATCCTTGACACTCGGTATCTCCAACAGCTATGTGTGAATAACCTTGTGTACTTTAAATCAGGTGTGTTTTACTTATGTTTTATACCAAGGTCGTAACATCCTGTTTATGTACGACCTTGGTATAAAACAAAGGGAAAATACACCTGGCTAACAGAAACATACTAATATCGCAATAATTTATCTAATTTCATCGGAAAATCAAGGATCAATTTCAATCTTTCTCAATTGATTTCTCTGTATGAACGATTTCTAGATACCTATATTTTCCTTTTGCTATACTTTGATATCTAATGAGGATATTTCTGTACTCATTACATTTTGATTTCTATGATATATTTCATGTTCTTTCTACTTTGATATCTGTGCAGATATTTCTGTAAATGAACCACTAGTACTTTGATATCTGCTGGTATCTCTGTACTTGTTATACTTTGATTTGATATTTATGCTGACCTCTTTGTACTCGTTATACCTTAATTTGATATCCATACTAACATATCTGTACTTGTTATTCTTTTATATCTATGCTTACATCTTTGTACTTGTTAATCTTTGATATCTACATATGCTGTGATTTCTCTGTACTAGTTAAATTTTGATATCTGTATCGACATATACATATTTACATGTACACACTTGATATCTATGTTGACTTTTATGTACCCGTTATACTTTGATATCTAACTTGATAAATATCTATGCTGATATTTCTGTGCTCGTTTTTTTATATCAATGCAGGCATATCATTACTCGTTATACTTTTTAGTCTAGATATTCTGCCATTTTACTTTAATAAGGCATGCACCCGGTAATGACGAGCTTTTTAATGTAAGTTATTGTTTTTCATACCATTTTGGTTGATAACCATAGATTCTATTCTCTGTTTTTGCTCGTTATTCCCGTGGCCAGCATTGATAATAAGCTGGTGGAGACCTCAAATCACAATCCTCTCTGTTGAAAATCGTCATGGTCTTTTTTGCATTGCATGTTTAACATGTGTTAGGCAAATGAGCCAAACCTCACAAGACCTACTAGTATATTATTTTCTGGAAAATTATAATGGTTTGTAATTTCTTGTATACAATGATAGTTTATTCTTATCGTATTTTTTCATCGTATATTTTTACACTGCTTTGTTTTACTGAAATGTACACATATATTTTTTTTTAATTTCGGAAAACCTCACAACGATTTGTTTTTCCTAAAATGAATTTCCAAAAAGTTTGTGGACGAGAGACCCTTTTTAGACGAAACAGATCAAAAAGCTAAAAATGAAATCTTAACTCTTTTTTTAGATGCTATTAGACTCAAATGTATATTTTAGGAGTTTTGCTACGTTTTGTGAAACAAATTGCTACACGTGTCTTTCAATATTTGAAAATTGAAAAGAGTGTGCATTACTCACTGGCAGTTGGAAAATTGCTCATTGGTGAAAGAAACATGTCCAGTGTTCTCAGTCCAATTGATTTCTGTTCACACTATTACCGACTTTTGTTTTTACATTGACAGGTACCTCGCCATCATCCACCCGCTGCGGCCCCGGCTGACGGTACGTGTGGTCCTGGCGATAGCTGTGATCTGGCTGGTTTCCATAGTCCTGGCCATTCCTAATCTTATATATGGCAAGACCATGTTGGTACAAGGCAGGGTCATCTGTTTATTGATTTGGCCCGACTTTACGATGGAGAGTCCTTCCATGTTAGACTTCGGGTGCGTTTAATTCAATGTTTAACCGCATTTATTGCGCTTCTGATGTATCTTCCCTACTTAGTGATCTTCGGGTGCGTTCACCTTAATGTCTACTCTGATTTAGTAGACTTGGGTGCATCCACCTTAAGTAAATGTTTATCTTTATGTTATATATGTAGTAGATTTTGGTGTAGTTTACCTTTATGTCTATCCTTATTTAGTTAGACAGTTGCATGATCTTCCTTTTTTCAGACTTCGGACGATTTACCGATGTTAAATATAGTCATTTGATCCAATCCGAAATTCCTCAAAATATTATTCCTTTGAAATCTGAATTTCTTTATGGCACGCCCAACACGTGTTTCTTCTTTCAAAGAATACTAGCAGAAGGTTGCAATCAGAATCAATATACAAGGAAGAAAGAGACAATATAGCAAATTTTTTAGGATCTTTATGCATTAAAAAAAATATGAAATGAGTTAAAAGAAAGTTCCGGTGGATAAATACATGCATTTGATGCATATTTCTCCACCAATCACATTTGAGGTTTGTCTGGAGTCGGCAGTGGAGCGAGATGCATTCGTGCTGTATTGAGGGTCTCGAGATAACTGTGAAAAACATTCAGATCAATGTGCAAAGTCTGAATTAATTTGATATTTTTTCTGCATTGTCGAAAACTTTATTTTCGTATTAATAATTAAAGAAAACATTGTATTGTTTAAATTTGTGTCCATGTAACCATTGAAATGGCTTCAGTGCCTAAGACATTCCGTAGCGATGAAACTCTTTTACTGACGTAAATGCAACATACATTTAGTAAGCATTAACATTGTAGAAATCTCTTGTCACAAAGTGCTGCCGGTTAATACATCGTTTAAAATTACGACCAATAGGTTAAGCATCGGGAACAAAAAATAGCCCCTGTTTTTGGTATAAAAGGATCCAGTAACAATGCAAAAACAAGCCAAAAAATCCGACTTAACTTGGAAAACAAAACAGCTAATTTTACTAGCGTCGAAGACGTATAATTTGCCAAAAATATATTTTTTTAACCAATACGCGATATCTGCACACACAGACACACAAATCACAAAATATGCTAAAATAAAAAAAAAACTATAAAAATCACTTTTAGTCAGACATTGATTAATATTTGAATCAAAATATGGAACTGCTGTGTTAATACAGTCAACTTTAAACAGTCGTTAAGTCATGTTACTAGTATCTCAAATACTTTTTCTTGAGTGTAGCTGTATGACATGTAGATCGTGTATCCATTCATTGGGAACAGCGACTATTTTCAAATTGCTCTGTTCAGAAGTATTTAACAACTTTTTTTCATGTCTTGGAGTTGGATCAATCTATAGGACCGATTTCCTGAACAATATATGTTTCTGAATTGAATAGGAATCCTGTTGGCTTGTTTTCTCGGTTAGCTAAGTTTATTAGGCGCGGATTCCCGAGAAAAAGGTACAAGCTAGCAAAATGTGTTTTCTTTTCATCGTGAAAATATTCCTGACCTCAAACAAATGTATATCCTTATTACTTGGGAACTGTCCATCATACCACACTATTTTCTTCTTAGGCACCATCCTTCTGTATATAACATTTGGGAATTATTGCGCAAGCAAGGAAAATTTGCAAACATAAAAATCACATGAATCAATCACAGAACGGGTCTCTCCTCTCTAACTCGCAATGAATATTCATTGATTACTGACGAGAATGTAAAATTGTTCCACCTTAACATAAGGTCGACGTCCTGTAATTGGAAGCATCATACTTTCATGTTTGTGAATAATGGTCAGTGTTGTTTTTAGTGTTCAGTTCTTATCATTAATATCCAGAGCAAGCATTCCTTTAACCCTACAGAGTCCAGCATGGAATCATTCGTCCTTTTATATTGTAGGAGTTTTTAGTGTTCAAACATTGCTTACAGGGGCTTTACGGCCCATAAACTGTTTTGGTAATAAAAGGGAAAATGAATAACTGGGTTTAAAAATTGCTCTTCGTTAAACTCCTAAAAATAATATCCTTTTTTCACTTCGTCTTCCAAATAACTAAGGAAAGGAAAGTATGTACAAAATTTAATTGGACTTTGTACTTGCTCATTAACTAAACTCATTTCCCCTGAAAAATCACTGGAGGGATGGATTTTTCATATTTTTACAAATTCGAGCAATTGGAAGCATCCAATCTAGGGTCCTCATTTTTATTACAAATTCAAGGAATCGTGTGTTCATATACTTTACTTTAAAGAAAACTTGATAAAAACTTGACATACGTTATTTCTTTCTATTTTATTTAAATTATGTGTCCTTAATTGAAAAAAAAGTATTTTGGAATGAGATAATTTTTCTAATTTATGACGATTTAAAGACTTTACTCCCATTAAAATGAATGTCATAAAACAAATGACATTTTAAAAAAATCATGTGTTTGAAGATGTAATTGATGATTTTGCCAAGTCATAAAATAACTGATAACATTTGAAAAGCTATTTACATGCATTGATACGATTTAATATACTTAAGTTTTGCACGAAATACAAAAATAACTTATTAAACAGAAAAGTACCTCTTTGGCCTCTTGTTTGATGTTTTCACGTTGAAAGATAGTTTCATTATGATAACTTTTATCAGAAATTTTGTCGGTGGCTGCCAAAATGCTAAATAATATTGGAATTTAGCATTAATTTCTAATCTAATTATCAAATGCGCACGCGGACTACTATTTGTAGTGTATAATGATTTCTACAAAGAAAAAAAAATATAGATGCCGAAATTTAAAGATATATGTGCCGTATTAGTGTTTTATTTTAAAAGAAATAAATATATATGTGGTGTCTCATCAAATTATATAAGTTATATACTTTCTGCAAATAAGACAATTCCACTCCATCACTTTTAAAAGTTATGAAATATTATTTGGTAAAAATTATTTTCTCTCCGTGTCGGATAAAAAACCGCCTCTTATTGAAATATTCATAATCACGAGGTGTCTTTAAAATATTTTTTGCGCATAATGTGCTCCGTACTGAAGATCCATAGTCGCTATTTTGTAAATGTTCACCCAACCAAAAATGTCCACTAGCAGTACAGCAGGGGGAACGCTAAACAAATGGACCTATGCAATGGAGTGGGGAAAACTTTAATTTTCTTCATTGTTAATCATTTGTATGCAAATATGAACATGGGATAAGTAGATAATAATGTACATAATGCATCAAGTCTTTCCGAGAGCGATTTAAAAAACTAGCCTTTTCGAAAAACACATGTAGTATTTTATGTAGAAACCATAAATGCATTAAATACAACTCATTCAGCTGATTTGTCTATTTGTGTTCCTCGTTGAACAGACGTCACAAAAAATATTGTCCTGGACCTGATGATTCTCGTGATGCTTTTCCCGCGCACATGCGCAGATCCAGCATAAACGTCAGTCCTTTATGAATATGCATGAGAATATCGTGTTCTTTTCCCGACCAGTACTTTGTTAATACCGAATAATATTTTGTCGAATTTGCAAGAATGCTTCATTTTTGATAGCTTATCATACTTCAGAAATTTTTGTTCGATTTCAGCTGTGCAAAAATACTGTTTAACACGGCATATATATCTTTAATATTATCAAACTATGACCGATTCGTACCTTAATTTATAACGGCCAAGGAATCATTCAAAGTTTTCCAAATGGTAAAAAATGAGAGAAAATCAATTTACCATTCTTAAATCTTCCGAAAAAATATTCAATATACCTTTTCTTAGTATAATATGTATATTATTTTAATTAATGACAAGGATTAGTAGATAATGCTTCGGAAGGGTAGACACGGTTTAATCCTAATTACGATTCTGAGTTCACGAAGATGGAGAATGGATCTGACTTTCTCTAGGGAATTCTTTTGAGAAATAATAAAGCTAAGGACATGTCTTTAAATATATGTGTGTAGATACATACATGCTTAATGATAGAATTCAGAGTAGAGATCAATAATAAGTAACGCGTATTTCTAATTGTTTTGTTTAGATCTTTTTCCAGATTATTTTTGTAAGTGAAGCTTTCTAAGGTGTAATATTTATAATCTTATAAGTACTCTTATGATACGGGTTTCCATATTTTAAAGTATTGACCCTTTCCCAGAACTTCTTAATATCTCTGTTTAGGAAGCCTTCTCCTCGTTAAGACCATTAACTGCTCCCTCATTCCCTCCATCCCTTCATCCCGAAATCACGCCTCATTTTGGCTATCACTTTTCCATTTTGTACTTGATATTTGGTTAATGGCTTTATAATCATAGAGATAAGAAGCAAAGTTCTAAAGCGTGCTTTCTGTTGATTTTTATACCATACAGATCTTGGCATCTTTGCGTATGGAAGACTTTAATTATCAGACCTGTACAAAGAGATCGTGGCATATTGTTCCTCTGTGTGTTTTACCTGCTCATCCTACTAAAAAACAAACTAACTTCTGATTTCGGATTTGAAGTAATAATTAGTTTTCTTTGAAACTAGAGAGGATTTTCTGTCGTGTCCGTCATTTTATCCTATAATAATGGAAGACAAGCTCGTTCTGACATCGTAAACCATGTTTCTTTACTGTTTCATGGATTTGGGTCCTAATTATCCTAATTTGATAATGTAACCGTCTTTGAAATTAAACCCAACAGAAATTTAATAATCATGCAATTTTATCGGCTTTGCACAATGCATTTACATTTGAGTTGCGTCAAGCGAAAAGGGACCTTCGTGACAAAATTTTCGAAAATCGTTTTTTAACCGATCCTGAAAGAGCTAGTTTTTCTGAATATTTTGATACCAAATTTTTTATTGTAAACCTTCTAAATTCTATTAAAACTCAAATTGAAAGCAATGCAATATTATCAATATAACGCTATAAAACGTTGAATAACGTCACATAACGTTATTGATATTTGGAACGTTATTATTACTAAATAACCCTTTTGTATTAGTTAGAAATTATTTTTTCTACATTTATTTAAGTTTTTCAATGTCTTTCCC